TGCTAATTGTGCTTCTCTTTAAGTAGTGGGATTTCATTAACTTTTACTTTCTGAATTTTCTAAAAATTTGGAAAATGACAAAAATAAGCATATGTTGTTTTCATAATTACAAAAAAAAAATAAATAAAGGTAAGTTCTCTAACTTAGGACAATAATAGTTTTCATTGAGAATAAATTGAACCCATAAAATATCCAAAATTGGCCCACCTTTCAGTACTTTCACTCTTGGCCAGTCAACTGTGACCAGAAGTCAGGTGACATTGTAGTAACGAAACAGCTTCCACTAGATGCGTGGGGGAACATGAATAACTCTTGGAGCAAGGATGCTGGTAGACAATTCTGTGAGCATCCACTGTAGATGCTCTGGCCATCCCTGGCAGGCATCAGATTTAGAGATTGCTCCTGCTGTCCTTGGAACCCCCAACCCCCTATGGTCTTTATGGAGTCATGATGTAGCCTTCATCCCCTGGTGCTTAAGCACAGAAATGGGTTTCTTCAGAATGCCCATGTGGTACCACTCCTGCCAGGGAAGGCTGGGTGCAGGGCTCATACATAGCCAGGAGTTCCCACATCAGCTCCTAATTGACCCAACCCTGGTATCCCCGCACTCCTCAAGAGTCCATGGAATACCGTATCAGCACATGGGGACACATGTCTGCCTAGGTGTGGAGTTCCTTCACTTGAGGAGGAATGCCCCCACTCCACAACACACGCACACACACACACACACACGCTACCACACATGCCAAGGCCCTGCCTTCCTTAGACTGTAGTGTTTGATCAATTAGTGGTTCAACTGCTCAGCTCTCATCTCCCCAGGCCCTGCCAGCCCACCAAACCCGCCCAGATCACAGACTTCATCTCCTCCATCTCCTCCATCTCCTCCATTGCTTATTTTGCCTTCCAGGCAGTTTGATAATATATCTCCATATAAAAGACCCTTACCTCTCAGTTGGTAACTAATTATAATAATTTGGTAATTATTTACATCTAACATTCACCTTCTATCTAAAACTTATTGGTAAAATTCCACAAATTGTGTGCCTTATTTTTACAAAAGCCATAGAGTTTCCATCGGCAACCTCAAACGATTATACTAGGTAGACTAGTAGTGGAAATTTCCCTTTTCACTTTATTCCTTTTATTTTTGAGAGACTTTGAGCAAATTACTTGGATATCCCAGTTTTTGGAGTAAAAAATACACAGTGATTCTTGAACATACACTTTTGTTTTTATTTGCATGTAGAACATGCAGGTTTTGCAATCCTAAGAGCTATAGGTTAAAACAATAGCCTACACTTGTCTGCTTGAGCCACTAGGTGGTGCACACATATGTCAGTGAACTGGAGGTTAAATGGGCTTGTGACCAGGTTAGACTTAATTCATCACCTCAGGAGCGACACAGACAGTAGGAGCTGTAGGAGCCAAGAAGAGATGGCGATCCTGTGGGTGGGGGGAGTAGAAGAAGGTCTCCCAGAGAAGGTGGATAGCACTGCTGGCTGTGGAGATGGTGGGAGCAAAATCATAAAGGCAAGAACCCCAAGGGCGTGGCAGAGTGAAAGCCCTGGAGAGGAAGGGGCATGCTTACTTTCCATGCTCACTAATTCCTGCCTAACTGGGCCACTACAGAGAGAGTTATGGAGTAGTTGAATCACTGGAACTAGATATCAAACATTCCTTCCAGGCCTTTGTGCTGGGCACTGGAGACATACAGATGAAAGGACATAGTCTTGTCTTTGAGTGAGAACCTTGTGAGAAACAGAAGGAAGCAGTCAGTTAGGACAGAGCATGATACAAAAGGTATGTTTTACAACATGACCTGGAAGAACAACATGAAATATTCATCCTGTTCTGGGGAAGGGAGAGGAGGGTGTTGTGCAGAGAAGACCTCATGGAGGTCCTGAGAAGTAAGGAGGGTCCTCCACGAGGATCATGAGAAATTAAGCTAGGCTGGGGAGCCGGCATGAGCTAAGGCTTGGGGTTTGAAAGGATAATATGGATTTCAGGAATGGCTTAGCTGAGTTTAAGCAAATGTTTACTGAGGGCTGCTCTATGCCATGGACTATACAATAGATGTCCCGGGCCCTTAAGATACTCCTGGACTAGCGAGGAAGACACGCTTACACGGAAAATTGCAATGTGGAAGGAAGGCTTAGTATTTGGCTCCTTTTAAATTCTGACTCTGGCCTCTGAGCCCCTCGTGTCCAGGCTACAGGGACTCTCAGGGAACTCTCTGCACCAGAAGAGGGAGCCCACAAGCACAGTGCTGGCTGCATCTGACTGGAGCCGCTGAAGGTATTTCAGTCTGCCTCACTCATCTCAGAGGGTGAAGTTTGAGCCCAGAGACATTGAGTAGGTTATCCAAAGCCACACAGGAGCCACCCAAGCCCAGGTGTCTGCCTCCTGTCAGGTTTTCTTCCCTTTTTTCTCTGCTGGACCCTGGAGACAGAGTCCCCATTTAGAGATCGCTCTTAATTAGGAAATAGACACTTTTCAGATATAGACCTTCATCACCAACAGCAGTCAGAAAGCCAAGCTCATGGAAAAATAGGACACATTGTGTTCTTTCCACATGCAGAGGAAAGTGCCGGCCACACGGCTTGGCCGTGGTGAAGGCAGCTTGAGCCAATTGTTCTACTGGCCTAGTTCTGCATTTGGGGAGGAAGGCGTTCTGCTCTGGCATTCCTTCCAGCCCACGTGTTCATTTCAGCACGAGGATATATGCTCACAATGTAGGTCAGTGACATCTCGGAATTGCATTGTTTGCTTGGAAATGTCAACTGGAAAGAATTATAAGCTGGCGGGAAAACAGGGATGTGTGATCGAGAAGGCCGTGAGAGAATACAGATCGGCATTTAGGCTGACGAGGAGTCACTGGAGCAGGGGTAGGGAGGTCTTAACGGGGTTCTGACTGGGACAGGTCAAAGTTAAATGGAAGAGGAGGGTGACCACAAGGGCCAGGAGATTGTAGGCCATGTCCTATGAGGAAAGGACAAAGGAACTGGGAGTAATTAGCCTGCAGAGAAGGAAAAACAGATCTTCATCTGTCCAAACTGTGTCATGGGCTGAGGCAGCTGGAAAGAGTGACAGTGTCATAAGAAAGCAAGTTTCAGCCCTGCTCACAGTAGAGCTACCTGACTGATAATAAGTAGTGAGTCTCCCAACAAGAAAAGGGATGAAACAGAAGCAGCTTGTACAGCTAGTGGGGACACTGCAGAAGGGATTCCTGTCCTGGTAACAGGTCATACCCAATGACCTTTCAGTTCTGAGCATCCATAATTCTATGAAAAGGGAAGGGGCAGTTTATATAAACCAAGGGTCACATGGCATACAATAATAACAGCACCAATACTAAACATTTCTTTTTATTGAGCACCTATGAAATACCAGGCATCGTCATGATTTGTGTGCATTGTTATATTTTGGTCTTTCAAGCCAGGATTAGACAGACTGAATTCTAATTCTGGCCCTGCCATTTAATGAAGCTTTGGTCTTGGACAGATCATTTCTCCTCTCTGAACCTCATGTCCCTCCTCTGTACATACCAACCCTGTAGGATTGCCAAAAGTATAAAAAGAAATGACATGTCTGGCTGGTATGGCTCAGTGGTTGAGCATCAACCCATGAACCAAGAGGTCAGGGCACATGCCCAAGTTGTGGGCTTGATCCCCAGTAGGGGGCATGCAGGAGGCAGCTGGCTGATGTTTCTCTCTCATGGATGTTTCTTTTTTTCTTTTTGTTATTGACAGTATTACAGATGTCCCCCATTTTCCCTCCCTTTACCCCCCTCTGCCCAGCCTTTCCCCCTTCGCCCCCTCACCAGGCCTTCCTCAGCGTTTCTCTCTTTCTATTCCTCTCCCTTCCTCTCTCTATAAAATATCAATTAAAACATATTTCTTTAATAAAAAAGAAACATCAAAGTGTTCTGGTACTGTGCTTGGTCTATAGTTGCTACTCAGAAAATGTCGTTGCCTTCCCCTTCTGCTCAAACAGAACTTCAGGAAGCCATTCCTGGAGAGAGATATGGAGGGAAATGCAGAGAGGGTGAAATATGGCAAAGAGCCTATTAGATTAAGTGCCAGGTCATCAGAAGCTCCTGCAGTGTGTAGCCTATAGCAATGGTTCTCAAAGTGGAGCTTGTTTGGACCCCCTTTTTAAAAAAAAAATACGGATTTTTAGTACTATTTCTGGAAAATCAAGTGTAGAAAAAAGAAAGAGGTCGGCTAAGGCTTAAGGAACCCTGGCTTAAGGCTTTAAGAGAGTTGCTCACTGCTGCCCCAGCCGGGATCACAAGGCCCGCTTTTCCATCCTCGGGTTCCTATAGCATCCAGTCCAGAACAGAGCTTCCCACAAGTGTGCTGTCACAGGGGCAACCCTCCTGAAATGTTGATCCCCTCAGCCCTCGGGGTACCCAGGGCTAGTTGCCTCCAAACACATGTAGCCTCACCCATATGGCCTAGCGAGCCCTATTCAACATCCTCTGAATGTTGTGTGGTACATAGGGGTGAGGATTCAGTTGGAGAAGGACTAGTTCGAGCATCAGTAATGGAAACTGTCATAGCACTGCTGAGCAAATTCAACAGAGAGAACAGCCCAGGAATGTCCTGGTTAGAAAGCCATATCAGGAGGGTGACACTGACTTAAGGACCCACGGCAAAGAGAATTATCAGGATGTCAGACACTCAACCAGTGCACAGTGTGAGCAAAGAAAAATCTAAGGCCACCTTAGATAAGGTGAATGAACCCACGGCTTCTCCCTAAGTACAATATAGGTGTGACTGGAAGACCTCTAAGACCCGCTCGGCTCTGACCACCCAAGGACAAGCAAAAAAGCCATCCATTCCCTTTGTCTCTCTGTAGAATCTTGAGTGAGCACCTGTTTATCCACAGTGTACCCTGCTCTGGTGTCTGAACACCCCTTTCATGTCCACCCCGACCTGCTAAGCACAGATTGGTCTCTGGCCCAAATCAGTGCTCTCACAATGTGTTTTCTTTTGCAGCAACAGCGGCAGCTTGACCTCCTGACAATAACCAGCCCCGGTGAGTAGCTGTGGCCATTAAGCTTTGGCTTTTCCCTTATCTCCCGGAGCGATGCCTGGTTGTCTGTCCAAATGCAATTCCTGCCTTCCTTCCCTGGCTCCCCGAGTGGACAGCAGAACTCTTTTGCGCCATGAACGACCCATCTCCCCCCATCCTCTGCCCCTCAGGCTGTGCCTTTTCTCCCTCCCAGCTCTTACTGCCTCCGCTTGACTCTGCAGATGGCAGGGCTGATGTTCTGATGTGGCTGCATATTCCAGGGTCACGTTCTCACCAAATCACTTCAACTCAAGTGTCAGGGAAGCATCCTGGTCTCCTGAGAAATAAGTTTTAAAACCATGGGGACTGGGGAAGCTGCCTGGTAGGTGGCACGGGATAAAAGGAGGTTGGCTCATGAAGAAGGACTAGTCTGGAAAGTGACCAGGTTTGGCCTCTGTGCTGAGGGGCAGGATGACTCTTGTCTCTCACCTTCAGAGAGAAAGGTCAAGTTCTCCAACAAAGCTGTGGCCATGGGATTAAAAGGCCCTTTCTTTCCCCTAAGCCTGGCACCCAGCCTAGAGAGAGGTGGAACTGTTTAGTTTTGTCAGAAAGATATTTTAGTTTAGTTGGAGGACTTGAGGCAAAACTGGCCAACAAGAAAAGCTGTTCTCTCTTGAGATCCAAGGAGATGATGGTGGGAACATTCAAGAGTAGGTGTGGTAATTCATCTTCATTCATTGGTGATAATCCAAGTATTTAACAGCCCCGGTGGCCCCCTGCTGTGTTAGGCTTTCCACTTCTGTTACTGGGTTCTGGGGAGATGGGACCCTGGGAGAGGAGCTAGTGTTGCAGAGTGGTCATATGGCAGGGTTGGGGAGCTCTAAGAGTAGCTAATTACCAATAAAAATGGAGGTATGTCAAAATTTTAGTAACCAATAGGCCTGTTCCATGGCATTCCTGCCCTCCATCAAGCAGTTACGCTGTGTCCCAGGGTTGGCCCACTTCCCAGGAGACGCAGAAATTGCCCTCTGCGGGCACTATCCTAGCACAAAGGCTAGCTATCTATCCAGTCTCTGCAACTAACATATGACAGTGACTGCAAGTGTCAGTTGGATCCACCAGTTCACGAGACCTTACTGTATTTCCACCAGATAGAGCTTCTTGAACTTGGGACTTTAGAAGAACAAAGATGAATTAATTTGAATAATGTTTAATCTATCCCATAGAATGAGCTATGTTTTAACATATATATGATTACATATATAGAAATTCCAAATCATAAGTTAATGTAACTAGAGTGGCTCAGTCAATAGTGTGACCTACCAGTTCCTCCCAGCGAGGGGCTGGTGAGAGACTACCTATTCTGTCCTGTTTGGTTGCTCTCAGTCCTGTTCTTTGCATACATTGACCCAGGTCTCCTGCTTCCGCCTCCCACTCTTATTCAGACACACCCTGATATGATGCCAGGGTATGAGTTGTAGCGGGTTCTTGATTTGTCTGCAGTTGCTTTATAAGAAAACATTCAGACTCTGTTAACTGCATTTCTTTTGTGCTAGCTCCGCCTCTTCCTGTTAGTGCACAAATTCAAGCAAAAGCATTATGACTTTCAGTGCACGCCTTTAGGCAGCTGTGGAATTATAAAACCCTAAGTGCTGCCCGAGTTTAGAATAGTCTATAATTTCCTCTACTTTTAGGTGAGAAAATAATGTGTTTCTTATGGCACACTGTCCACTGTACGTAGGCTACCCTTGTGTGATATTGTGGGATATACACCCGTGACCTATGGCTCCACGCAGCTCTCAGAGGCACAAGTAGGACCTGCGGTAGCTGGAGTGCCCAAGATAGGCCCTCCTCCAGCGTGCCAGGCAGACACGATCCCTGTGCGCCATGACTTGGAAGGGTTTGGAAGCACCATTAGACCTCGTAGTATCCAGACAACTCTGTCCCATGCAAGGAGCACTTTCCTCTGTTGTTATTAGCTGTCTCTTACTTTGAAGCCATCCCTATCCCACACCTTTCCAGGAGATGCAGCAGCTAGCAGTGGGCGTCCTCCCTCTCTGGGGCTGCCAGGGGGAGTGCTAGCTTGTCCGCACCCCCTCCAGGCCACCCTCAACACAGAACTGCAGTCTGCTGCTGCCACTCCTCGTAGACGGAGTCTTTGAAATTGCTGGTGGGGAATTTGGAAGCCTTATCAATCTGTGTTATCTTCTTTAAACTCATTTTGTTTATGGTGAATAATTTCATATATTCAGAAAAGAGTAGAGATATAATGAAGAGCTGTTGACTGCCCCTCTCCCTGAACATGTTGACTTTATCATATCAATGTGTGCCATTTATGCCAAAGGTCTCCTGTTTTTAAAAATTTGTAAATCTGGTTGAGACTTTTCTCTACAAATACCTGATCCCATCTCTCCCCTCACCCTATAGGTAACCATTCTAATGAGTTCATTGTGTCTTCATACTTATGTATCCCAATATATAACTGGTGTTGCTTTCAAATTCCTACAAATGGTGTCACACTATAAAAGTTATTCTGTGAATATTTTTCTACTCATTATGTTATAATGATTCATATAGATACATGGAGCTCTTGGCTCGTTCATTTTAACTGCTATATAGTATTCCACAAATGATTAAATCACAATTTATTTCTCCATTTTATTGACCATAATTTAGGATACTTCCAGTTATTTTGCAATTGCAAACAATGCTACTAAGAACATTTTTTGTGCATCTCCTTTTGTGCATAAGCATGAGAATTTCTCTAGGGCATATAGCTAGGAGAGGAATTACTGAGTATATGCATTTTCAAATTTACTACATAATGGCCTGTTGTTTTCTAAAGCAGTTAAACAAATTTACACTTCCAGCAACAAAGTATGAGAGTTTCCATTTCTCTGACTCTGAAACATGGAATTGTCAGGCATAAATTTTTACTAGTCATCATGAAAAATGTGAAACGGTATCATTGCTTTTATATGTGTTTCCCTGATTACTGGTGGGATTGAGTACCTTTCCATACATTTATTGGCCATGTTGGTTTGTTCTTCTGTGAATTGGCTTTTCATATCTTTTTATAATTCGGGTTTTTAAAATTTTTATTTATTTGTAGTTCCTTATTATTCTGAATCTCAATACTTTGTCACTTATATGCATTCCAAATATTCTCTCCCAGGTTGTGGCTTATGGTTTTTTTACTTGATTTATGATATATTTTGGTATATGGAAGTTTTTATTTTATTTTTTAATGTAACAAAGTGTATCATTCTCTTGCTTTATGTGCTTGCTTTTGTTTCTTACTTAAGAAATTCTTCCCTATGTAGTTACCTGGTATGTATTCTCCTGTATCTACTTCTAAGAATTGTCAAATTTTGTGTAACACTTGGATCTTGATCCTATTTAGGACTGATCTTTGTCATATTTATTATATTTGTTATATTTGTGTATAATATGACATAGGTATTTAATTATTTACATATGAATAACCCATTGTCTCAGCACCATACAAACTAGTCGATCCTTTCTCTCACTTATCAGCAATCACATATCTGTCATCTATCAGTTTTCCTACACACAGCATCTGTTTCTGAGCTCTCTGTACTATTTCACTGGTCTACCACTCCTACTCTGCATTGACTCTACATTGTCATCATATTTATAATACATCTTAGTTTTAATATTGTCTTTATACTTGGTAGGGAGATATCCTTCCCCCTTTACCTTTTATGGTTATCTTTTGAAAGCACAGTTGTCTTCTTTAAAATATATATATATATGATAATCCCTATATTGTGACAGGTGAATTTAATCTATTTATATTTATTATAATTACTGATATATTTGGACATAGTTCTACCACCGTATTTGTGCTTTCTGTTTATATTCATTTTCTTTATTTTTTCTGTTGCTTTTCCTTTTATTCAATTGTTTTATATACCACCCGCCTTTTTCTTTTTTTTTACCCCATCTGTAGATTTGGATGCTGTATATTTTATTTCTAATCTTAACTGGTTATCCTGGAATATATACTTGACTATATATTTTATTACAAAGTCCACAGTTATCCAAAATTTCTATCCTTTCAGCCACAAAAGCCTATTGAACATGCCCTGCCAACACCTAGTTGTTAATGTTTAGACTTTTAAGTTAAATGTTTGCAAAAATTAAAACCAATGCATATTATTATTATTATCACATCATTAACTAATTGACTTTTCTTACACCGTTTATAAATTTTTGTGTTCTTCTATTTATTGTACCCCAAGATTATCTGATGTTCCCTTACTAAAGTGAGTCCTTTAATACCGAATTTAGTGAGAATCCATGGGCAACCCTTTTAATATGTGTATGTCCTTATTTTGACTTCCCTCTGGAATGATAATTTGGCTGCCCTGAGGATTTTCCTTTGTACTTTGAGATTTTTTTCATTGTTTTCTGACATTATAATTGCTGATGAGAAGTCTACCATCATTTAATTGTTTTTGGTAACATCTTTTTTTGGGTAGGTTTCAAGATTTTTAAAAATCTTAACGTTCCACTTTTCCACTTTGATGTATCTAGGTATGAATTTATTATTCACCCTGCTTGGTACTGTGGATATACTTTCCACCTGAGAATCTGTCTTTATTTCTGAGAAATTACTGAAAAATTATCTCTTCAAATATTGCTTTCCCCCATTCCCCTGATTCTCTTCTTCAAGAATTTTTATTAGACGACTGTTGGATTCTCTCATGTGGCTTGATTCTTAACTGATACTTTTATAAATTTTTTTTATCATTTTATCTTACTGCACTGGTTCTGAGCTCCCCAAAAGTAACTTGTGTTCATAAATTCACTTTTGACCATGTCTAATCTAAAATTTTTCTGTCTTTTTCAATATTTTAATAACTATATAAATTTCTCAAAGATTTCTAATTTTGTTTCTATCTGCCTATTCTTGTTTTATTTATGCCTGCTCTGTTTCATAATTTCTTATTCTCTTTTAATGTCTTCGTTGTTTCTTTGAACATCCTCAGTATGCATAT